TGCCAGGACGGAAGCCATTGACAGTTCTGAGGACAATTAATCAGTCAAATGGAATCAGTTTCTGCTGATAAAGGAGCGCCTTCCCTGTAAACCTGCCATTCCATTTTATGGGAATTAATGTTCTGAAAAGGGACTGTCGTTTGCTTTAGTTAAAAGCCCCGATTCATTAGGACCCTGTTTGGAGAAGCTGTGGGAGGTGGTGGTTGGGGGAATTAAGTTTTTACCATCGAGGGGCTTAGAGCTGGGTCATTGGAGAGGAGCAGCTTTTGGGGAGTTAGGGAGCAGGACTATGTTGGGCCGCAAACAGGGGGCATTCGTGGGTTATGCAGATAACAGTGTGTTGGTAGATTGTGCTGTGGACATACTGCAGAGCCTCCAAAGCAAAAATGGAAAACCTTGTATGCTATAATTTACTACAAATAAATAAATAAATAAATAAATAAATAAATAAATAAATAGCACCGAAAACCCAACATTTGCAAGGAAAAGAAAACCCCGTTTATCTGCAATCCGATTTCACTCTCCTATGTTCTTAAATGGAAAACTGGATACATGTTATACAAAAACATCAATTATGTGCTTTGGCGATGGGATTGTGCTTAGCCCTCAAACTTCTTTGCTGCAGCCCCTTTAGGGAGCGTTCCGAGGGCGGCCATCCCTCCTGGGCCTCCGGGCCTGGAGCGTGCACACAGCTGTTGGAGGCTGCGAGGGCAGAGGAGGATGCAGGCTGGCCAGGGCCTCCTGGGGGCGGGATGCTCCCCCAGAGGCTCAGGGATTGGGCCCCTCACGAAGCGGGCTGGGTTGGGGAGAGAGCCCGGGGCTTGTCGGGAAGTGGGGAGACTGCTCCTTCTCAGGGGACAGCTGCTTGGCACCCATCGCCTGTCGCCACATAGGAATGTGGGCTCCGTCGGCCACATACTATGATTTTCTCAAGAGAAGCCAGAAATTGGATTTTTACATGAGGTGTACTAATATCGTAAAGTTTGCAGGCCAAGCAAAACATGTCTGAACCCGCCTCGGAGGCTGTAGGAAGGGAAAGCTGAATGTGGCTTTTCTGATGCAAGACAAACCCCGGACGGGACTCCGTCTCTTCTTCTTCTGGTTTTCGCCTCGACTGCGCTGAGTTGATGGATCGCCGTCCTTGTTCACGGGAGGTTCTGGCCAGGGACTGGAGTGTGGGGTCACTCGCTCCTTCATTCGAACGAATGCAACCGGTACCCGGACTCACCACTCGGTTTGAAACGAAGATCTTGAAAATCCCCTACAACCGCTGTGGGCTCCTCCTTCACTCCATCTCTCTGCCTAGGGCCAAGGCAACCATGGCTCCAGATCCATACCCACCACTCTCCTGCTTTCCTTTTAGGTTTATTTCACCTATAGGTTTTTTTTTTTTTTTTAAAGATTTTATTTATTTATAGGCAGAGACACAGGCAGAGGGAGAAGCAGGCTCCATGCAGGGAGCCCGATGTGGGACTCCATCCAGGGTCTCCAGGATCACGCCCTGGGCTGCCGGCGGCGCTAAACCACTGTGCCCCTGGGGCTGCCCTAGTTTTTTTTTTTTTTTTAAATATTTTTCATTTATTAGAGATTGAGAGAGAGAGAGAGAGAGAGAGAGAGAGAGAGAGAGAAGCAGGCTCCACGCAGGGAGCCCGACATGGGACTCGATCCCAGGTCTCCAGGGTCACACCCTGGGCCGAAGGTGGCACTAAACCGCTAAGCCACTGGGGCTGCCCTCACCTATAGGTTTTTAAAGAGCCTGTTAGTCCATCCGTCCGTCCATCCATCCGCCCATCCTCTATCTTTTGGCTTTCGTTGGGTTTTGTAACTGTATAAAAATATTATACTGTACGTAATCTTTTGGGACTTACCTTTTTCAACCAATAGGTGATAAGATGCAGTTCATTTGTTTTGCGTGAACGTCCAGTCCTGAGAGTCAGCGGCAAAGTGTTTCCAGCGAGGTTGCGCCCGTTCATGTGGAGCGTGTGATCCACATCCTAACACCTGGTACCGTCAGACGTTCGCCTCGTTGGTCGTGATCATTATGGACTCGGTCTGCCCTCCCGTTATCACTCGTGACGCCGAACACGTCGCCAGTGTTTACCGGCCATATTCTTTGTGGTTCTTGTCTTCTGTCCTTTTCCCCATCGTATCATCTGTGCTTTCCCTACTGATTTCTACGAGTTCCTTGTACGTGTTCGATATTAATCCCTTAATGGAGGCATTTTCCGAGTCTCTTTTCACTTTCTTTATAGGGCTCTTGATAAGCAAAGGCTCTTTATCATACTTGGTCACAATCCTCCATCTGCTCTCTCATCAATGCCGTTACCATTTTTGGAGGGTTATTTAAGAAATCCTTCCCGACTTCACAATCTGAACGATGTCATCCTTGTTTTCTAGGGCTATCACTTATTGGTAAGAATATTACTTGTCACTCACCCTCTCAAAAAAAAAAAATCAAGTGCAGGGAACAAGTCTGATTTTTGGTGGGTCTCTGCTGGTTGGTGGCACATTAGACCCGGCGTCGAGTCATGTTCTGTGACTCGACAGACATTTTCATGCTCCGCCGCTCTTGGTCATCTCAAAGGGGTCACTGCTGGTGTTGTTTTGAGACTTGAAAGACTCATGTTGTGTCTGCAGGCACAAGAGGGGGCAGGTCTTTCCTAAGGGTCCTGGGTTATCCATGCATTTCAGGGCCCTGGCAAAGGCTCTTCCCGGCAAAGGCAGGCAGGGGGGCCTGGGGGCAGCAGCCCCGCCACGTGGCCAGGCTGAAGTTCCCCCAAGCGCTGGGCCGCTGCCATCGTGCCACCACTCACTGCACAGAAAGCCCAAGTGTTCTCAAGCTGGACACGCGTGTGCATACACACGGGGAACAGCGGCACCGAGCCTCTTGCTGCTTCTTATCTGGAAAAAGCCGGGTGGGGGGGTGCACCCTCCGAAACGCCAGCCACCGGATGCCCGATGCCATCGGATATGGGGATGAGCCCGTGCGGGGGAAGCGGCCCCAAGACAAGCAGCAATCACAGCCCCTCAGCCACGACCTCAGGGTGGCTCACCTTGGTACGTCCCCACCGAGGCCAGTGCCCGTCCGTCAGAGGGAGCCGTTTTCTGGGTCAGAGCAGTAGCTAGGAACGTGGGGTTGACGTAGAGCTGAAACTCCGAAGGCCACTGCCTTGGTCACGTCACCGCAGGCCTTCCCGCGAGGCCTCGCCCCGAAACGCTGCCCGCTGCCTGGAGGACACGCGTGGGCCGGCGCTCCCCGGCGTCTGGGGTGTGGCCCACCCTCCCCAGCCAGCCCGCTCCCCTCACCTCCTTCCCGCCTCCCCCACCCTCCCACCCACTCTCCCCCTGCCATCCCTTCCCTCCTCCCCCCTCCTGCCTCCTCACCCTGGGTTTGGTGTTATTTGCAGTGATCCCCCCCGCCCCCGCCAATCCCTTCCAGTCCACCAGGTGGTCTTCACAGCCCGGGCCCACTGAGTCACCCGCAGTCCCCCTTCTCAGATCAAAACATTCAAATTTGTCCTCGTGCACGAGCCCCTGTTTGTCGTGGCCTGGGACCAAAATCCAAAGAAAAAGGTGGTTCGGTGCTGGGTCCAATGCCACGGTTTCCATTTTGGGTGGGTGCATGTTCCTCTGGCTTAGACAGGTCCCATAAAGTTCAGTGCGGCCTGCCCCTTCTTGGTGGTCGCCCCGGGGTACCGCGGGGGGACCTCAGGGAGCCCGTGTGGAGGTTGCTCCGTGTCAGTCTGCTCGTGGGTGCACAGGTGCAACTGCACGTCTCCTTCCTTTGAGTCCAGGGCACATGGTCCGGGGGGTCCACGGTCAGAGGGATTTGCTTCTGCCCCTCATGGACCCCACGGGGCCTTGCTCTGCCCTCCGCTGGCCTCTGTTGGGGGGTGTGAAGCGCAGCCTCACTCATGGCTTCCTGCACGTCCTCGGTCTTGAGGGGACGACGGGGCTTGCTCCTCCGAGTGAGGGGCAGCCCTCTGTGCAAGAGCAGGCCCCGCAGAGCGGCTCCGGAGCCCGGCTGCTGGCTCTCTCCGGTCACCTTCTGCCTTGATGGGTGCTGATCGGCAATAGGGGGTGTGAGCAACTTGCCGTATCTGCGGAAACAGCAGACGCGGGGAGGTCTCCCCACGGCCTCGCCGGGCATCAGCTCCTCCCTGGGGTCTCTGCACCCCGCGGGGGGGACGGCAGGACCTTGGGGGGCTGGGGACTGGCTGGATGGCGGGCGCCCCCCACCGCGGCCTGAGGGCACTTCCAGCACCGCCCCGCACGGGGTGCGCTGTGCACAGGACGCTCGGGCCCTGCGGAGCCCCCAGGCCGCGGCCAGTCCTCCCTGGAGGACCTTGCCTGGGCCTGGAAGTCACGCCAACGCCTGCTGTGCACCACGCACGGCCACAGCTGGCTCCACGGCCCCATGTGCCACAGGATGTGGGGCGATGAGCGTCATCCAGCACAAACACACCTGCTTAGAAACCGGCTGGGTGAGCCGAGCCAGTGGGTTCCGGCTAATGCCAGCCGGTCGCGGACTGAGGAGCGGCCCCCAGGCCACGCCGGTTTGCTTAGGACGCCTGGCACCTGCCCACCCGCGCGTCTCCTAGAGGCTCGAAGCCACCTCTCTGTGCACGACGAAGGAGCACCCCTCGCCGCCCCGAGTTCCCTTCTCAAACTAGCAGCGCACCCAGGAGCAGTAAATACCCAGATGCACGACTGTGACCCCAAGGGGGCAAATGCACGGCACAGTTACCCCGAGAAAAGGGGCAGCGCTCGTGACTTTAGGTCCCACCTCCTCCCAGAGCCCTTCTCTCCTCCCCAACCCGGGCTGGCGGCTCCTCTTGCTCCCGCCCGTGGGGCGCCCTGCGCTCGAGGAGGCCGGGGAACGGCTCCCTGCGGCGTCGCACAGCGGGCACGGCGGCCCTCGCCAGGCTCCCGGGCTGGCCATCCATACATGCCCGCAGAAGCGTTACTTCAAAGTCGTTTTTTATTCAACTGTTATCCAGCAGGTATACAATACGGTTTATAAACAAGTGTCTGACCTTGTTTCCAATCTTTATTTAAAAATAAATATTATTGACAGTGGATTTTAATTATGATAAGATGTATCTCTTTTTTTCTTTTTTTTTTAAAATCAAAACATCTCAAAAGAAATAACTTACTTTAATAAAAAAAAAAAAGGAAAAGCCCCCAAAGGAAAAGAGTAAATAAAAAAAAAAATCCTAAACACAAATAATCTACTAAAAATAGTTCTGCTTTGTCAGAAAGGCCTTTGACCCAACATATTTTTTTTTTTTTTTACATAGTATCCTAAAGATAACTGCTCAACAGTTCGTGCAAAATGAAGACCTGGAGGAAAAAAGTTTAGGAAAGAAAAAATACATTGAAGTAGAGAAATCACTGGTCCCCATGCAGGCCGCATGGTCCAAATTCCATCTTATTTGGGAACTAGATGCGTGATTCTAGGTGTTGTACGTGTGTGTGACCTCCCCCAAAATGTGACTGGGTAACTGTCCTCGTGGACCTTGTCATGCTTCCCCCAGGCTCCCGGCGGCGTCCGAGGCGGCGGCCCGTCGCGGGCGTGGGCGGGGCCGTGCCCGTCAGTGCCCCAGCAGCAGGCGCAGGAGCTTGTGCAGAGCTACCAGGAGCAGGGACAGCAGGGGGTCTGTGGCGGAGCTGGGGCCCGTGCCTGCAGGGGACGAGACAACGGGCGCCGTTAACACCGGATCCACGAGCCCCGCGGGGCCATGAGCCGCGGGGAGAAGCCGCTGGGCGCCCTGCGACGCGCTTGTAGGGGGGCCGCGGTCAGAGGCGAGGCGGCCTGGCCTGCGCGGGATTGCGGTCCTCGAGCCCAAGTTACTTGAGCGAAATGACAAGACGACGCGCTTCCTCCCCCAACGCTCCCCTCGGCGTGTGCTGGAACGTGGCCGGGCACTGGCGGCCCAGATCCCCCTCCTCCGGGGAGCCTCCGTCCTTGCGCACGACTGAAGCCCTCCAACCCCGGCCGCAACCTCACAAGTGCCGTCTTGGGCATCCTGTGTGCCGGAGCCTTCCTCCCGTGGGCTGTCGGCGGGGCCTCGGGGTCAAGGTGGGGCGCTCAGAGATCTCTGGCTCGGGGAGGCGAGGGGTCAGGTCCTGGAGGATGGAGGGTCACCCCCAGCGGTGCCCTCCCTGGGCGGCCGGTCAGCAGGCCTGCGGTGTAACCTGCGGAAGCCCCAGGCCTCACCCGGGAAGCAGGTGCTCCGGGGTCCCGAGAGGAGCCGGCGGGGGACGCAGCGCCCCAGCTCCAGGGAAGTGACCGCAGCGCGCTCGGGGCCGGGCTGCACGCGCGAACGCAGCTTCTGGCCCGCCCTGCCCACCCGCACCACGCGGAGGCCTCTCCCCTCCCTTCACTGGGGCAGCTGGGCCGCGGCTCCCGGCCCGGGGGAGACACGCAGGACGCCGTCCCCCGAGCCTCGCGGATGGGACTCCTGCTGTGGCCGCCCCTACACAGCCGCCCGACAGGCTGGGCCCGAGCCCACGACCTCCCCGTGGCTCCCAGTCATGTGTGCAAGGGGTTTCCCCCGACCCCGAGCCCCTCAGGCTCCGGCAGCAGAGTGTCCTGGGCCCCAGGGTCCCTCTGTGCAAGGGACTCGGATAAGGATCCAGGGGCCGCTCCTGCCGCAGACTCCGGATTTCACCTGCGGGTTCTGGGAAGCGCGGGCTGCACTCAGGTGTCTGAGCGGGAAGGGGGTGGGCGGCGGCGCTGCGGTCTGCCCCCCCTCCCGCCCCCTGAACCCCGAATCCCGAGGCAGCGCTCTCGAGCTCACTGAGATGCAGGGAAGCACCAGGAGGCGTGCGCCTCCCTCTCAGCCACTGATCCCGCACCCACAGCCCTCCTGGCCCCCCTGCGGCCCGGATGTGCCTCTTGCATCCCTGAGGAGGACCACGGGGTGATGTCAGTCCAAGGGCCCGGGTCCCCCTTTGCTGCTTTTCCAGTCACGCATCACAAGGGACGAAGGTGGACGCCGCTGTGTGGCCGGGTGCCTGGACTCGGGTGCAGGGAACGGGGGTGTGGCTGGGTCAGCGCTGCCCCCGGGCACCCAGGGCTCGCGTGGCCGGATGGGCCTCCAGGCCTCCTGGCTCAGGTCTGACCCTGACCCTCGTGTGGCACAGGGACAGCGCGGGAGGCGCAGGAGAGCAGGTGCCGAGCAGCGCCGCGGGCCCTGTGATCCGGGCCAGGTGACCGAGCCGGGGACCCGCGGGCACGGGACGGGCAGGGGAATCTCAGCTGGCCTCCGCGTACTGCTGCCGGCCTTGCCCGGCGTCACGCAGGGTTGTAAGATCGGACGAGACTCCGTAGAGGCCCTGGGTTAGAGCCACCCCCGCCGCGCCGTGCTGGGCCCGGGGTGAGCAGCGGGTGCTACCCGGGCACACGGTGGCGCCAGGGCCACACCTGGGGGCAGGTGCCTGGCGTCTCTGCCGACGGCATCTCGGGGGCACAGCCAGGCTTGGCTCCCGGTGGCACCTCATCTCCCCACGCCCAGCCTCCCAGAGAGGGGCGGAGGGCGGGCACCGGGACGGAGGCGCCCCGGCCAGCGCCGTGACCCCAGGCAGCACCTTGACCTCTGTGGGGCGCCCGCCCTGCACACCCCCTGCGGGGAGCACGCGCCGGGGGCGGGTCATCAGCGCGGGGGCCCGGTGAGGCCCGACCACAGTGGGAGACGGCCACGATGGCCACCACCTCCTCCCCTCACCCCTGCGACCCAGGCGCCCACTCCTCCTCCCCTCGCCCCTGCGACCCAGGCGCCCACACCTCCTCCCCTCGCCCCTGCAACCCAGGCACCCACACCTCCTCCCCTCGCCCCTGCGACCCAGGCGCCCACTCCTCCTCCCCTCACCACTGCGACCCAGGCGCCCACACCTCCTCCCCTCACCCCTGCGACCCAGGCGCCCACACCTCCTCCCCTCACCCCTGCGACCCCAGTGCCCACACCTCCTCCCCTCACCCCTGCGACCCCAGTGCCCACACCTCCTCCCCTCACCCCTACGGCCCTGGCGCCCACACCTCCTCCCCTTGCCCCTACGGCCCTGGCGCCCACACCTCCTCCCCTCACCCCTGCGACCCAGGCGCCCACACCTCCTCCCCTCACCCCTGCGACCCAGGCGCCCACACCTCCTCCCCTCACCCCTGCGACCCAGGCGCCCACACCTCCTCCCCTCACCCCTGCGACCCAGGCGCCCACACCTCCTCCCCTCACCCCTGCGACCCAGGCGCCCACACCTCCTCCCCTCGCCCCTGCGACCCAGGCGCCCACACCTCCTCCCCTCGCCCCTACGGCCCTGGCGCCCACACCTCCTCCCCTCACCCCTGCAACCCAGGCGCCCACACCTCCTCCCCTCGCCCCTACGGCCCTGGCGCCCACACCTCCTCCCCTCACCCCTGCGACCCAGGCGCCCACACCTCCTCCCCTCACCCCTGCGACCCAGGCGCCCACACCTCCTCCCCTCACCCCTGCGACCCAGGCGCCCACACCTCCTCCCCTCACCCCTGCGACCCAGGCGCCCACACCTCCTCCCCTCACCCCTGCGACCCCGGCGCCCACACCTCCTCCCCTCACCCCTGCGACCCCGGCGCCCACACCTCCTCCCCTCACCCCTGCGACCCAGGCGCCCACACCTCCTCCCCTCACCCCTGCGACCCAGGCGCCCACACCTCCTCCCCTCACCCCTGCGACCCAGGCGCCCACACCTCCTCCCCTCACCCCTGCGACCCAGGCGCCCACACCTCCTCCCCTTGCCCCAGCGGCACGCGTGAGCCCAGACGACACAGGTGACGGGCTGCCCACCCGACGGGCGGGATCGTGAGCTGAAGGAAAGCTTCCCATATCACAGCAAAGCCACCGAGTTGGAGTCCCTGCTGCCCAATCACGGAAACGACAGTGCCTCCCACGGAGTCAGTGGCTTTGCGGACAGACGTTACTGAAAACGGTAACAAGGCGACTTTTCTGAGAAGTGCTGGAGGGCAGCGTGGGGCGTTGTCGTCCTCTCAGGGAGAAAATTTTCCAAGATAGAAAAGGTGGGGAAAGTAATCTCCCCAACCGTTTTTCTTTTCTTTCTTTTTTTTTTTTTTAAAGATTTAATTTATTTATCCGAGAGGGAGGGAGCGCACAAGCAGGTGGAGGTCACAGGGAGAGGAAGAAGCAGATGCCCCGCTGAGCAGGAAGCCCGACGTGGGGCTCGATCCCAGGACCCCGAGGTCGCGACCTGAGCCAAGGGCAGACGCTTCACCGACTGAGCCCCCCAGGCGCCCCTCCCCAACCATGTCTTACAAGACAGACAGACATCGCTGGGCCCTCGGTGGGAGAAGGACCCGGGTGTGGGGACCTCTGGCCAATCTCTCCCTGGATATCCAGATGCACCCTTGGCTTCCAGGCGAACCAGGTCACCGCAGGCAAGACTGACTTCAGGTGGCCCTGCAGGAAGGGGCCTTGACGCCGGAAGGGGCCCAGGGGTCTGGCAGCTCAGGGTCCCCTCCCCCAGGGCCGGCTCCTCGGAGGGACCTGTTGAGCCTGTGGCTGCTGGGCCCCTAGGGGCTACCACCCTAGGCCCTGTCCGTGCTGAGTAACTGCAGCAGCGGGTCTGCCCCCCTGCTCCCGGGTCACCTGTCCCTCCAGGGCTTGGTGGGGGGCCTCGCTGAGTAACTGGAGCAGCAGGCCTGCCCCCCTGCTCCGGGGTCACCCAACCCTCCAGCTCAGGGCTGGGGGGTGGGGGCGTGGGCTCAGCAGAGGTTGGACCTCCGGGCCTGGGTGCTAACGGTCCCTGTGCCCACGTCCTCCCCTCCCGACGGTGGCAGGAACGGCGCTGGCACCTGCAGCGGCTCATGCGTCGTGATTAAGCTGGCAAGTCGGGCTGCTGAGAACCAGGCGGGAAAGCCCGAGGGAGGGAGGCCGTCTGACGAAGTAGAGGCTGATTCGGCCTGTCACGGTCGAGTCTCACCGCTCTGCTAATCATTCGGGAAGAAACGAAAGCTGCTCTTGCTCCGCGAATAATAGCTTTGAGCACCGAGGCGGTGAGCAAGGGGAGACACCCGCTGGAGCCGCTTGAGCGGCTCCCAGAGGGCACGGTGGGCACCCAGTGCCCGGGGCGCGGCCGGAAGGCCCTCGTTCCCACTGACACTCCACGCACAACGCCGAAGGCCGCGTGTCCGAAACAACCTGGAATCTCTGGGGCCGACGGAGGCCTCACGATCGAAGCGGAGGAGGAGGTTTAGCTTGGGTCACCCTCTGGGATGGTGGCCGCGTCCACGCTCTCTGGAGGCTGCGACCCTGAGTCAGGTTCCTGGTGGGCGCATGTCTGCGGGGGATCCAGCAGGTCACCCCCGGGGAGTCCCCGACTCCCACGGGCGCAGCAGCACCTGGAGGCCGCCCCCCACTGCAGGCGCCAGGAAGCAGCAGCTGTGCCGGGGGCACAGACAGCTCCGCGGCCTGGCGGGGTCCGTAGCACCCGCCGTGCTGGCCGCGGGCGGAGGGAGTGTGGGCCCCCGGTGGCCTGGCTGCTGCAGCGGCGGAGCTGCCCTGGGTCAGGCTTGGCCAACGATGCCCCCGCAGCCCGTGCTGCCCGGACACTTTTTGTCTTCTGCTATAGATTAAAACCTAAAATTTAATTCAGGTTTGCAAAGAGCAAATAAAATTCAGCTACGTGTGGAGC